GAAAATTATTACCCGCCACGCTTTTGCAGGCAGTTTGGTGCTCTCCAAAATATTACCCCCCCCCCCCCCTGCACTACAACCAGCAATTGCACACTATTGACGGCTTGACATCTAATGCAGCGTAAATACTCGCGCCACATATCGATAGGTGGAACCATCGCCACGAATGTTTTCGCAATGTTCGTGATGGACAACCCAAATGCCATGCGCAAATACCGGTTATGGTTCCACACACATGGTCGTCGGCTCATTGGTAACCCTGAGCAACGCCAAGATGAGGGTTATATCCAAACTGCGGTGTCATTAAATGACACGGTTAGTTTGTTAATTAATTTTATTATATTACTTAATTTATTATAACTGAACATTAATATTTGTTATATTTCATGTAGATGCATTTTTTTAGCCAAATGAACTTGGGTATGGAAGAGGATGGAAATGATCCACAACGTCAGTTTGAGTGGTGGAGGGAATACCGTGTGGCCTTGCCAGCGTATGTTGACCAAGCCGGGTACGGTTTTCTACTGGACTTTCCAAATGAAATGTATAATGCTCAGCCAGTGGACGCACCTGTTGAGGCTGGTCGTAGAGATCGACGACGTGAGCGAGACCATTTGCGTGGTCAACCGCAACGGGGCGGGCGACGTAGGCGTGTTAGGGTAGATGAGGGCATGGATGCTCCGGCACCTGGAATACACGATCCGGCTGCGGCGGACAATGTTGTAGGAGGCGATGTGGATGCACTCGCACTAACAATTGTTCCGGGACAAAACGACGGTAGCGCCGCATTTCAGGGAGCATACACTTCATTTGATCAAATCACTCAATACCCTCATCAGACGCATGCATCCTTTAGTCAAATTTTTGACCCCACGCAAGCGTCTTCTAGTTACCACCAAGCCTCATATCACCCAGCATACGGGTATAGTACATCTGCATACCACCCAAGTCAATTTGGTGACGTTTGGGAATCATCTGCTCAGGGTGGTTTGAACTTGGGACAGCCAAGGCAGGAAACGCAGCCAAGCGATGACGCCGAAGATTTTATATCTTATATGAATCTGACGCATAGATGGCTGTAAATTTTATTCTACCTTGAATATTACATTATTATTCTGCGTTACTTTTTACTCATGTTTTGATATTGATAAATATTTTATCTAGTGCAATATATTTTATTATAACAACATCATTCGCATTAGTTAAATTATTTTAGGTGTTTGCATCAATTAATTTTTCATTTTTTTATTATAAACATTTGCATAATAAGTACTCCGTATCTTTGAAACAAATTTAAAGTTAGTCATTTCAAGAACATAAAATCTCCAAAATACTCGGCCACTTTAATTTATTAGGTTATATAATTTACCGTTAATTTTGGATTTAGTTATCTTACAAGACAATTTTGCAAAATTATAATACAGTGGTTCAGATTATAATATGGTGGTTCATAAGTAAATACGTTGATTGATAAGTAAATACGTTGGTTTATAAGTAAATACGGTGTCCACCGTATTTGTAAAATGGAAATGTTATCTCAATTTTCCCTTAGGCGAGATATAAAGGAGTCAATCTCGCCTATGGAAAAGACACTTTCCCTGATCCGTAAACAATGCCACACATTTCCTTATCACGGATCCCATGTTACAATCCCTCCTCACCGGCAAATGGACCCGTTGTTTGGTTGTCAAATTTGAAGGGGAAAAACAAGCATTTAAATATAATAGCATATGAAATAGATAAAAAGTAGATAGGGTTACTAATATAAACTAGTAATTCACCCGCACGATGCACGGGAAAAAATTATGTTATTATAAATATAAATAAAAAATAGAAAAACTAAAATATTTTAAATTGTTTAATATAATAATATTTTTGAGCTTCCATTAGTCAAGTATTTGTTATTTTTATAGAATACAAAATTAAAATTAAAATTTTGTATGGTTAATATAATTTCTAATTATGTGCATATTCAAATAAACTTATAGAGAGAATTTACATAATTACATTGATTTATTCTTAATTGTATTTCATCTATATTATAATTTTCACAATACAAATAATAACTAATATAATTACATTTGGAAAGCAAATTTCAAATTTTGTATGAGTAAATTTAAACTCTAATTGAATACATTTTTTATATGATTATATAATATATAGCTATTTTATTTTTCAAAAGTACATTTTTATATGATTATATAATATATAGATATTTTATTTTTCAATTGTTGTGCTTTTTTTTTTTTTTATAATAAAGGATGTTGTGGCATTAATTGTAACATTAATTACTTCTCAAACCATATAGCTTTATTATAGTTAAGATGTGTTGAGCTCGAAATGAATTTGGGCTCAAACAAATCATTTGGGCTAAAAATACATTTGGACAAGATTAAACACACATGGGCTCAGAATTAAATCATTTAGGATAGAAAACTGATAAGAATATATAAATACGAGTTCGTCTCGAATAGACTGTTGGCTCAAAATTTTAGGAAATAAATCATCGTAGAAATAAAATAATTTTATTTCGAAACTTTATAAAATAGGAATTTAAGAAAATATTTTGGGTTGTTACACCTTAAGCACAAACCCACGCACATTAAGAACAAACTCCACTCACCTTAAGAACAAATCTCACGTACCTTAAGCACAAAGTCACGCACTTTAAGTTTTAACAACTACTCACATTAAGCACAAACTCACGCACTTTAAGCATAAGACTCACGCACGTTACGCACAAGACTCACGCACCTTAATCACAAAACCACTCACCTTAATTTTGACCTAGATGCAAAAATTACCAAATTACCACCACATTTTTATTTTAATTTTGGTAATGTTGAACGTTGATTTAAGTAGAATCAATAGCTCTGTTTTAACCGCACAACCGCACCAAGGACTGTCCACCACACTTGAACCTATATATATATATATATATATATATATATATATATATATATATATATATTTGTCAACACAACAGTGTGATTACCATAGTCTACATAATAATTTGCCTTTGATCACATAGGTATACAAAATTTTGAGAATGTAGTGCTACTGGGGCAAAAGTTTGGGCCATGCATTATTCTCCTGAGTTGTAGCTGCATGTAAAAAGGATTAGCCCACATGTTGTTGTTGTGGTACAATATATGCGGTAGATTACACGAATTTAGTTCAATAATTTAGTAAACAATATTTGAAAATAGAGACTAATGTTTAAAATTCAACGATTACAGTATGAGAATTATATTCAAAGTGAACAAATTTCATGTGCATTCTATTTATTAAGCTATTGAGTTATCATGATTTACATTATTCTAAATGCTTTGTCGAATTAGGGTGTAGAGACCATTAGAATGGGGTATTCAACCTTTTGAAGAAGGTTCAGTGTATGTTGTTTATGATTGGGTGTAAAATAATAATTAATATTGGAAGGGGGAAAATAATCACTTAGCCCACCAACTTCTAGGAAAACAATAGAATATGATGTACAAAGTTCAAAGTGTCTATGGGCTGAGAGTGCCCAAGATCAAATGTTCCTTACTTTTGGGGCACCTTTTTAGACTTACCACCCTTGCTCTGGATTAGCTTATATTACCCATGGTTTTTCTGTTCTGCACTCAAACCACCGACAATAAATAAATAAATAAATAATTTAGGGTTGGGATTCAACCTTTTAGAAGAATAAATAAATAAATATATATATATATATATATATATATATATATATATATATATCATTACCAATGAGAGAATGATGAACTAATAAAATTTATGGATCTACAGCAACTTATAGAACCAAAATATATATATATATATATATCAATTTTTTTTTAAATAACTCAAACTTTAAAATGCAACTAAGTAAAGCTGTCAAATGTCGCATCTATTGAAAAATGTAGTGATGTTTTTGTAAATAATTCAACGTTTCATTAAGTAAAGCTATACAAAGTGCATCTTGTCATTGCACTTATACATATTTGAGAGACGATGCACCCTATGGTGTTATTAGTTGCACACTATAATGCTATTAATTGCACTTTAAATTTTGAGTTATTTATGAAAGCGCATATTTTTTCTTTTCTCCTTGCTTTAAAGTAGTTAGATATTTGTAGATCAACGGCTATGATGAGTAATTCTTAGTTCTTTCCTGACAATGTTTCTATTTTTTTCAAAAATAACAATGGTTCTATAAAATAGTAGTATTAGTCTCTTAATTATTTTTGACTTATAAATTTAGTTTCTCTTTTAATTTTTACAAATTTGCTAATCCAATCTCGACCTGAAACGTCTACACTCTATTTGTATTTAGAGTCTTATAAGAAAATAAAGAATGAATTGGTGGTTACAAATATATATGCTATCATAAAACTCTCAAATCAAATGGAACTTGACATCTCACTTATTAGTGCGAATACTGTATTTATAACTCATTTAACAATTAAGGAATTATATTTGTAAAATTGGAAAGAAATGTATTAAATTTATAACTCTAGACCAATTGAAAGATTAAAAGTGCGATCTTATGTTCACGAATCTTGTTCATGTCGCTAAGATCTTAAGGGTGACAAAAAGTTTTCTCACATTTTTTAAGATAATTGCATTCTCATGATTCTAATTTGAGACTTCTAGTTACGTAACGTATGTTTTAATGCAGCTTTAGAATATATTATAGTTACATAAATTTTAATATTACTGTTAAATTAATCTTGCATGGCAATTCTTTTAATAGTTATTACACGAGTCAAAATTCAAACTTTTACTTGACTGAGTTGTTTTTAATTAATTACCAGGTCATTAGTAAAAATGCAAAGTGGTTAGATATAATATGCTGTTTTGAATGAGGGAAAAAACAAACTTAAACAAATAAATAAATAAGAATTGAGGGTACAAAATTAAAGTTAGGAGATGAGAGACGTTGGTAATGCTACAAAACCATCAAAACCATTATCCAAATTGTCAAATCTCCCCCACCCTAACCCCCTATAAATATGTACTCCCACTAACTCACATTCATCACCAACAACCCAACACTTCTTCTTCTTCATTTTCTTGAATTTTACTGCAACTGCTCATCATATCAGATCAGCTATGGCATCCAAGAATAATGTCAGTTTGGCTTCTCTGGACCAGAAGTTGGCCATGGCCAAGCGTTGCTCTCGTGGTATATATATACATATACATTTTTATTTCATTGATTCCCCTTTCATTTCTTCCCTGCATTTGGTTCTTAATTTGTTTTCTGGGAAAAGTCTGGTAATTAATTTATCAGTTAATTTTGACTTATTTGACCACTATTAACCGTTTAATTTGGTTAAACAATCAATGTAAGTATTTGATTACTGAGCTTTTTGTAATAGTTTATTGCTCCAAAATGCTAAAACTCAAAAAGCTGCTCAAAGCAGCTTTTTCAATCACCTTTTTAATAAAGTCATTTTGAATGTAATCAGCTATAAACTAACAGCTAATTTACCAAATATTTTTCTACAATCTATCAATTAGTCAAACCCACTAACCCAATCAACTAATAACTATTTACCAAATATCCAAAATGTAGTAGTTTTTGAGTTTTTGATAATTGTTTGTGCATTGCAGAGGGTGTAGTTGCTGGAGCTAAAGCAGCTGTGGCTGCAACCATTGCAACAGCCATTCCAACAGTAAGCTCATTCTTGCTTCTCTCTAGCTCTTATTTTTTCTAAAACCCCAACCCCAATGACCTTCACTTGCTCTGAAAATTTGGTAGATATATATGACTTAAATCACGAAATGTTCGTACACCTGTTCATAACGGGACAAATTCATACTGTTCCTTTAGTAAGATATGAATCTTCATGTTTGCATTGCAACAAACTATTAACCTTCCTTTGAATTGATCAATCAATTAAGAAATTCTTTTTCTAGCTAGTTGTATGAAAGGAAGATTTTATATTTAGACAAAATCTCTTATGAGACTAGCCCGTGAAACTAATAGAGTTTTTCATAAGTATTATATTTTTTTTCGTAAATATTATATTTTTCTTCGTAAGTAACTATTTAGTCCCTAATATTACATTTTAATTTAAAAATATCACATATTTTCATCAAAATATCACATTTCCTTATAGATATTACACTTTAGTAATAATCAATCAATTTCTTCAAAAAACATTAAATTTTCCATTACAAGTAACAAACAGTTTTTTGTATTACATTTTCTAAATATATAATTATTACTCTGGTCCAAAAATGTTGAATCCTTAACGCAAAGGACCTCACATTCCAATCCAACAGACTGTTTGTGAGGATGTAAATCATAGACTCAATGGCTCAGCAGATCGTGTCAAATGTCGGTGCACAGAAGAAATTTACTCACTTTAAACATAATACCCACACTGAGTGTACACAAAGGATGTGCCCATTTTGACACAACCCATTTCACAGATACAGATTCCTAAGAATATTATTTAATTATTTTTTGAAATTTAATATATATGGATGATGATTCAGGTGGCGAGTGTGAGAATGTTACCATGGGCACGAGCAAACTTAAACCCAACAGCACAGGCACTAATAGTCTCAACGGCCGCCGGGATGGCTTACTTCATTGTGGCCGACAAGACAGTTCTCGCCACCGCTCGCCGCAACTCCTTCAACGGCGGCGCCTCGGTTTCGAGCAACATTAATGCCTGATAATATTATGAATTCTTGAATATCATATTGTATAATTATATGATCTCGAAAATCGATATTAAGACTAAGTTGAGCATAATATTTATCAGCTTAAACTTATAGTAGAGGCATGATGTATTAATACTATGTTTCCGTTTATGTATGATGTACCACCTCTTATCAATCAGCAATAATATAATATTTTGGAGTAATTTCTTTACTTTTTGATTTAATTATTTCATTCTCCCAAAATGTTTAATCCCTAACTTCAAAGGTCCCTACACCCGACCGGACAGAGCATTTAGGAGGATGTAAATTACGGTGAATCAATGACTCAATAGATAAGGTCAAATGTCTATGCGAACAAGGGATTTGTCTACTTTGGACATAATCCTCACATTGCTGCTGTCGAGGTTCCAACCTTAATTTCTTCTCTCAAATACGGTCTACTGAACCAATGAGTTAAGTCCGTGCGGACTTTGTTTTCTTATCCTGTTGAAGGCTTACTGAATATTATGAAAAAATATATATATATTTTTTGAATAATGAGAGAAACTTCTCTCAAAATGTTGAATCTCCAACCTTAAGGTCCTCTACACTCCGACCCAACGGAGCAATAATGAGATAAACTTATAGCTACGATAGTGTGCAAGACTATATTTGGTTGATAATATTCATTGTCTTTATTATAATTTGTTGTGAACTCCGTAGAGACACCTATATATAGTTTGTAAGGTAATTATCTTGTAGTCTAGTGACACCAAGTTGTTCTCACATATGAGAGGTAGTGGGTTCAAGCCTTAGTAGAATCAAATCAATCAATATTGACGATCTGTGTACTTCAGTAGGTTGAGAAAGTAGTGCAATCTTTTAAAAAATCTAATATATGAATTTAATTTAATGTGCAGTTACGAACAAATACTGCATTTTAACAGAGTCAGTACTATTCAAAAAAAAAATTAATGTGCAATCTTATCAAAAAAATTTAAAAAATCTAGTATATGAATTTAATGTGTAGTCTTAAATAGTGACGGCAATTTTCCTTGCTAAAAAAAAAAAAAAAAAAAAAAAAAAAAAAAAAAAAAAAGAAGGTAATAAGTAGTATATGAATATAAGAGGACTTTATTTTTTATTTTTTTGAAAAAAAAAAAAAAAAAAGAGGACTTTTTATAAATTATATGCATTATGCAATGGTGTAAGTTCAATATATAATATAATATGCTTCGTCAATAATATAAAAACGACATACTATAATTTTATCGAATATAAATATATTTACAGCCGTGCTATATACATGATATTAGGGTAAGAATGAATAACACAACTTGACATCAGATAAGAATAATATCTTACGTATATTTTCATTTTCTACTTCTTCTAACATGATATGATTGATTTAGAAAAAAGATACATTACAATTTTTATTCTTTTTTACCCTCATAAAATTTAAAGACATGAAGAAAATTTTATTTTCTAAATATACACTTAGCCCAAAAATCAGATATATAGAAAGAATTGATCGCATTACAAATACTCACTGTGACAAACTCGACCAAGAAAGTATTAACCAGAAATAAACTCGTGACTCTTTATTTCTTTAATATAAAAATCATGATCCACTCACATGGTAACTCTTTTCGGGACAATTTCTACTTTATTTTTATACATGGCATCTATCCTAGAGAAAAGTATAGTAGTCCTCACGAGGTTAATTCACTGGTTCAGTAGACCGTATTTAAAAGAAGAGATCAAGATTCAAAACTCAACAATAGAAGTGTGGTGATATGTCTAAGGTGGACAAATATCTTTCCGCACCGACATTTGACTCAGTTTGCTAAGCCGCTAATTTACCGTGATTTATAGAATTCCAAATTCTCAATCAGGCCGGGATTGAAGATTCAACCTTTTGAGAGATGTATAATTTAATTTATCTTTTTTATGTGATTTGCAAAAATTACAAAGAAACAAAATTTACTAGGCGCACATCTAAACCGTGATTGCAAATTTCAATTCTCATTAAAATAACAAATTATAATTTTTATAACCCGACCTCTTTCTCTTTTATTAACAAAATCATATACATATATCATTTTTCTATTAATACTAGTTTTTTACGCGTATTACGCGATTGGGATAATGTCCAATGTTTTTTTTTCTAAATAAGTACTTTAAAGTATATCAAGACAAGATTATATTAGAATTGTTCATGCATAAATAATTGAATGTTGAATTTGTGTATTTAAATAGGTAATTCTAAGTTTTACAAATACAAGATAATATAGTCAAGATTGATTATAATTGTCAATAAAATAATTGTATAGGTATGGTTGAAACCAAATACAGGACATAAGGGAGAGCAAATAAAAATTATGGCATAAAATATTAAATATATACTAATATTGAAGAGCTAACTGCTGATTGTCAAACAAGGACATTGCGAGTTAGTTTCCCACTTCAATTTTTTGTGTGATTTGAGTACTCTTTTTGTTAATAAATCCCGCAAGTAGTTAATATAATTGACTTAATTATATTTTTTATTTTTTTATTTTTTTAAAACAAGTATTATTATTATTATTATTATTATTATTATTATTATTATTATTATTATTATTATTATTATTATTATTATTATTAAATATATGTATACCCTTAGGTCATTTTACATGTTAATCTAAACAACTAATTTTTTCAAATATCTTTTTAGCAACAATTGATATAATTCGCTAGTCAAATCCGCTAACGCTAACCGCTAACTGCTGATTGTCAAACAAGGACATCGTGAGGTAGTTCTCACTTCAATTTGTTGTGTGATTTGAATACTCTCTTTGTCAACAAATCTCTCAAGTAGTTAATATGATTGGCTTTATTAATTATATTTTTTTTTTAATTTTTTGTGATATTAATAAAATACTTGGTAAATAAATATATAGCATTATTTTGTATTATAACTTTGATATTTAATTAAAAAATAGTGCACAAAAAAGATAATAGACAATGTAGTGAATATAATCAATTGATGAATTTGAATGTAAAGAATTTTTACTGTAGAGAAAAATAAAGACAATATAACTAATAAAGTTATTTCTCTTAATTAATTTATTGATAATGAATAATTTTTTTTTAATAAAGACATTGTAGGGACAATATAACGAATATAATCAATTGATGAATTTGAATGTAAGGAATTTTTATATTGGAGAAAAATAAAGACAATATAACTAATGAAATTATTTCTCTTATTTAATTTATTTATTGATAATGAATAATTTTTTTGAATAAAGACATTGTAGACACATAATTATAAATTAAAGAAATGTATATGTATTATTTTGGTTGTAGCTACTAAATTATTATTTAATTTAATAAGAGTAAAATAGAGTACTAATTATGTCAACTTTGATTGGGATGAGGTTCGAACCTAAGACATTTCTTATTGAAATAAATGAGTAAGTTAACGGTGAACTAACATAAATTAACGGAAAAGATAATATTTAACGGAAAAGTTAACGGATAATCATATTCATTAAGGATAAATTAGAAAATCTCAAGGAAAAATTAAAATCTGATCAATTTGAGCCATTCATTTGATTAAAAAATTTGACCGCCATTTTTTCTACTCATTATAGGCCTAACTCTCTTGGGCTCTTATTAGTATAGTAGATAGTAGATTTTTTTGATAAGTGTTGGAGATTCGGAACATTTATCATCGTTCGAAAGTCGGAACCACTGACGAACCAACCACCTGCCTGCTACCAACTTGGAGGAAAACAATGTACAAACATGGAACATGTCTATGGGCTTACAGTGTACCCAAGTACACCAACGGATCTCAGCCCTTCATTTTGGACACGTTCTACAACCTTGTGGACTTGGTGGCAATGCATTATTGCATTATGCGATGGATCCAAACACACATGATTGGTTATAAAGGAAACACCCACGGTTTTGTGGACCTACTTTTAACTTTTGTACTTTACCTCCCAAACCATTGGCTCTCTGTACCTGAACTCTTTAAATTACAAATTTTAAACATAAAAGGCAAAAAGGCAAATGGGAAAGAATAACATTAATAAAAAAAACAATACTAGTACCAAAAATGGCAAATGGAAAAGAATAACATTAATAAAAAAAAATCTTTTAAATAAATAAAAAAAAAAAACGGGCGCCTAACGCCTAGCGATTTTTGTAACCTTGATTAATACTAGTACCAATAATCTTGTTTAACACAATTAATTGTGTTTGATATTACGTGATTGTGTCAAATATTATTAACATCCAGATAATTTTGTCAAATATTATTAACATCCAGATAACAAAAACAATATTCTTTTTCTAGATTTCTCCAGGTGTTTGAATTTATTAGTAATAAATAATAACTAAATGTAGACACTCAGCAAACTCTAGTCGTACGTATATTCAATATTCTAACATTTTTTTTAAAAAAAAAATGATTTTTCTATTTTATTTGCTCTTAAATGTTTTGGATAAACAAGCTGCAATAGTGCAATCTGCACTACTACTGATGAAACAGCCAAACAACCGCCAAACAACCGACTTCGACAGACTCCGACGTTGGTAATCCCACAAAACCGTCAAACGTTTGGCCATTGTACTGTTCTTTAGACCTGAAAATTTTGCCTATATATATATCAACCATTTTACTCATTTATCTCACCAACTCTTCATACAAATTCAACAAATTAAAATATCATCAGCAATTCAATGGCGGCCAAGAATGTGAGTTTGGCTTCTTTGGACCAGAAGTTGGCCATGGCCAAACGTTACTCTCATGGTATGTAAATGTACTATTGAGGATTAATCATTTATATTATTTTTGACTTAGTGTTTATTGATTATTTTCCTATCGTGTAGAATAGGTCTGCACTGTTACTTTTAATAGCCTATTTTATCTAGTTGTATAGTTATTAATTAATAAATTAAATTTTCACGCAACTTCTATATGTACAAGTTTCTTCTTTCATTTTACTGGGTTTATTTCTGTGGGTTTGGAGAAAATGTAGTAAATTTTCTTGGGTTTTTGATCATTGTTTGTGTATTGCAGAGGGCGTAGTTGCAGGAGCTAAAGCAGCTGTGGCTGCCACCATTGCAACAGCTATTCCAACAGTAAGCTCCTACATTCCCCTTTTTTTTTTTTTTTTTTTTTTTTTTTAAATACGATTTCGCTGAAACTTTCATGTGGAAATAGTGACAATTTTTATAGTTGTGCATCGATATAAACATGTATGTATATATGCATGGTGCAGTTGGCTAGTGTGAGAATGGTGCCATGGGCAAGAGCCAATTTAAACCCAACAGCACAGGCACTGATAGTCTCAACAGCTGCTGGGATGGCTTACTTCATTGTGGCTGACAAGACTATTCTTGCTACGGCTCGCCGGAACTCCTTCAAGAATGGCTCAGTCTCCGGCAACATTCAAGCCTGATCTTGATTATATATAATTATTATATGCATCATATTTTATCTGATCTCCCTGCTACTCAATCCCATTCATTTCAAGAAGGGGAGGGTAGGGGGTGGAGTTCTGTTTGGATGTATGAGTAATGAGTATGAATGTATGATGAATGATGAATACTTGTTCTATGACCAACACTGTTTCTGTCAATATAAACAAAAAGTTGGTTTTTCCCAGATTGTTGCCTTCTTTTCTGTTGATGTATCAAATGTATTTAACCCACTGGCAATGATTCTCAGAATTCTGTATAAACACTATCAGAACCATCAGGATTTATAGATTTACAGACTCAAAAGGTTAAAGACTTACAGCTTTACAGGTGCTATTTTCATTGCCATCTGTTGGACGGAGGCCGGTGAAGGCTAAGTCTAGCACCCAATGGCAGGGTTGTTGGGCGGAGGTCAATAAAGGGCTTAAAAAGGCCATGTTTAACACCCAGCGTCTCAAAAATGTGTGGTAGTATAAAGAAATAAAGTTGCGCCCTTCGTTACTAGCTATAGCTTTTGACGTAAGTGGTAAGCGCTTGATCCTAACACCTCACCATTAGCTCCAGAGGAGCATTAACAGATCAACATTCTTGGTCTAAGCATTTCACCAGTAGTCGTTACATGAACAAGAACCATCCTTAAAATGGTGAAACCGACTACGATCTCTGGCAATGATTTCCCTGTTGAATATCTTGGATATTAGCTTTGTAGCTGAATGGCAGTTGCTGCACACCCTCAGGTTCTTGAAAATTCTGAGAGTTGTCCCGGGCTTTGTACTAATCAACCCAAAAGAAATGGCCAACTTCTCGCTGTGTTGGCTCAACACCCCTTCTTTCCACTCTTCGTCTACATCTCGATCCACTTGAGATGTATCAGGAACATGTCCTGCCATCTCCAAAAGCTCGTCCACTTCTTCGAGCATCCCATATATTTTCTCGCTCTCTGGATGTGTTCTGTCACTCGCAAGAAACTCGTGAACTATGCTATCCACCTCAATGGAGGTGCAGCCCGGAACTTTCTTCAATCCCTTGTTGTTGAGAAAGGTTCTTATTCTACCTACATCATCCCATCTACCAGCTCTTGCATAGATGTTTGATAACAGCACATACCCTCCGGGATTATCACGTTCCACTTCAAAAAGGTTCTTAGCAGCAAATTCACCCAATTCAACTTTTCCATGGATTCTGCAGGCACCAAGCAAAGAACCCCATATAGCACCATCTGGCTCGACATCCATGCTTTCTACGAGGGCCATTGCTTCATCCAACAGTCCAGCCCGGCCTAAAAGGTCTATCATGCATCCATAGTGTTGCAACTTTGGTGCAAATTTGTAATCTTGGATCATGGAATTGAAATACTGTCGCCCGAGATCAACCATACCAGCATGCCTGCAAGCTGATAAAACACTGACAAATGTTATGTCGTCTGGCTCGAATCCTTTCTCTTTCATTTCTGCAAAAACCTCCAGCGCTTTATACGCATTTCCATGCATGGCTAGCCCGGATATCATCACGTTATAAGAAGCCAACGTTTTTGTCTCCATTCCATTAAAAACTTGTTCTGCAGCTTCTACATTCCCACATTTCGCATACATATTAACAAGACTTGTCCACAAAGAGGCATTCTTAAATTCATCTTGATGCCTGTCAATATAAGCATGTATCCATTTGCCAAGATCCAGGGCACCCAAATATGCACAAGCTGGGAGAATGCTTAAGAAAGTTACATCATTAGGCTCTACCCTGGACCGCTGCATTTGGCGAAAAACAGATAAGGCTTCTTTGTAATTGCCCTTAAGAGTGTAACCTCCAATCATAACATTCCAGGAGATGAGATCCCTCTCCCCCATACTCTCAAACAACCTTTTTGCTGAATCTAAATCACCACATTTTGCATACATGTCTATAAGCCCGTTAATAAGCCGAAGATTTGAACTAAGACCATGATCTTCAATCCAAGAATGGACCCAAATTCCAAGTCCCAGTTCACCCAAATGGGCACAAGCAGAGAGAAGACTCAGCAGTGTGCTCACATCAGGACTCACATTTTCTCTCTTCATCTCTTCAAACAAAGCCAGTGCTTCTTTATACCGACCCACTTGAGCATACCCGGAAATCATAGCATTCCAGCAAACCACATCCCTAACAGGAATTTCATCAAACAGCTTACGGGCATCATCCAAGAACCCCCTCAAAACATACCCACATATCAACGACGTAAAAGACACCGCATCCCTGAAAGAACTTTTATCGAACACCAACCGTGCACAACTCAGCTCACCAGCTTGCGCGTACATGTTAACCAAAGAAGCATGTACATAAACATCACTCTCAAGCCCAAGCTTCAAAACATGCCCATGAACCTGTTTCCCAACCCGAGCCGTCGCCATTCTCGCGCAGGACTTAAAAACAAACGGAAACGTATAAGAATTCGGATGATTCCCGGAAAAAAGCATTCTTCTGTAAAACTCAAGAGCTAACCCCGGGCTCGAACTCAACGAGTATCCGCGAATCATCATGTTATATACAACAACATTTGGGTTTTCAATGGTGTTAAAGATGGATAGCGCATAGGAGACGTCACCGAAGGGGGAAATGGCGCAAAACTGGAGTAGCTTGCTAAGCGCGAGAGGGGAGTGATGCAAGCCGCATTTGATGATTTGGGAGTGTATTTGCCTGAGATTTTGGATGGTTGTGCATTTGGAGAGAAGGGATAGAGATTGGTGGGTGTGGAGGAGGTTGTAGGGTGGATTGGAGTCTGGGAGGAAGTGCATGGGTGGAGCTGTCACCGGACAGGAAGAAGAAGACATCGCCATGGCCAGTACCGTTTGGAGACATGTATGTATTCTAATTTTGATAGTTAATAAAATTTTCCAAAAATTATATTTGGTACAATCATGTATCCCAGGCTTAGTGTAGTTGGTTCGTCATCTTATTTAAAGATCATGACAGGAGACGACAGTGTTTAGGTTTGAATCCCATAGAAGTATGTATGAGAAAAAAGTTCGAGGATACTGAAAGGTCTAGATTAGATCTCTTGTGGGCATAAGATCTAGACTTGACCGGTTGACTGATACTGGAAGGTCTAGATTATATTCCTTGTGGACAGACCTGATCGGTGGACTAATTGTGCAATTCGTGATTTTCCTCTGCAATAGCTTTAGATGTGAGATCTTATGACTTTAGGATTAATCCGGCGAAGTTAAAATCACATAAGATTTTTTTAAAAAAAATATTTAATTTTTTAATACAATCGTATAGTGTGTTAGATGTCGGTGATCTTAGTGATCAAAATATAGAGCGTGTATCAGCATATGTAGTAGTCCAACAAATACTCGAGTTTGAATCTTTAATAAGAAGGATCTTTAACTTTAAGAAAAAAAGAAAAAAAACAATTAGGATCCTGGCTCACTGAAACACATCCAATGCAAGGTAGTCTTATATATTGATAGTACTGTTATATTACTTTTGCGCCTACAATGTATACGACGTAATGCTTAGCTTGCAAAGTGTCTAGGTACTGAAGAGATATTAATTCTTATATATTTATTCAATGGATGGTCTGTCTACGGCATATATTGACTAAGAATAAGAGTTGAGTTCATATATTATTGACTAATATTAATTTTTTGTTTGCTAAACGATTTGTAAATTTAGTAGTGCATTTGTTAGTTGGAGAGGACGTATTTTTAAATGGTTGTAAGGAATGAGTTTTGTATTCTCTTAATAAATCTGATGTAATTTAGCGTAAAACTTGTTAATGAAGTTGGTTTTTTCTCAAAAAAGAATTGAGTTCAAAGCTAGATATATGTTGATATTTTACAATTTCTGATCCTAACTTTTCAGGATTTTTAAATTCATCTTTAATTTCTTAGGTTATGGCCGTGCACTTGGCAAAAGTTGGGCACAAATTCTATCTTACCAGCAAGGAATTAATTTATAATAAATAAATCTTCAAAAAAAAGTGAGTAGATATTTAATTTTATATCTATTCTTTATCTGTCCCAATTAAATCACTATTTTCTTCTAGGGTTCTGAATTTAGAAATCCTAGATAGGGGGAATGGATAATGGGTAATTATTAACAAATAGAAATACCAATATGGGTTTGTTTAAGATTATTGAACTATCAAAATTGTTACAAAATGAGGTATGAGCCGAAGTTTTAAGTTACATTAAGATAATAAGAGAAATCTCAATAATAAAAGATTTTTGGTATTTTTTATAGTGATAAGTAGGAAAGAGGGGAAGAGAAAAAATTAAAAAAAAATTAAAAAAAAAAATCTGAAAACAAAAGTAAAAGTAAAAAACTAAAAGCAAAAGTACATTTACGCATTCTCGTTGTCCTGTGCAGTGCGCCACACACGCAAGCTGCGTGACAACTTTTTCAAATTTTTTATTTAATGGGTTCCACAAAAAATTGGTATTTGCAGGAGAATTTTTTTCTTCTTCTAAAAATCCAGTCCCATTAACAAATCACCCTCCCCCCATGCCGAACCCCTCTCCAATTTTTAGCTCTGAAAAAACTTGCTAAAATTTTTTATTATGAATACTCTAATGGCATGTTTGGTTCATGAAATAGGTCGAGAATAGAATACTGATCCCGGGAATAGACCTATTCCATTGTTTGTTTTGTCATTTTATTCAAGGTAATAGCGTTCCCGGGAATGAGCTATTCCCTTTGCAGGGGGAATAACCATTCCTAAGGGACCCCCTGGTATTAACTATTCCCAAGTATTTGGGAATAACTTTAGTACTATAATACCGAAAATACCCTACCACTGTCACCACTGCTGCCATCTCCACCACCACCCCACCACCACCACCGCAACCACCGCAGCCACCACCACCTCCACCGCCACCACAACCACCGCTGCCACTACTACCACCGCTACCACCGCCACCGCAACCACCACCACCACCACCGCCGCCGCCGCCACCACCACCACCACCAACACCAACACCACCACATATTTTTATAAGGGTATTTATGTCTTTTGAAACATATTTCATTCTATTCCTTAAACCAACCAAACACTATAATATAATTCCTAAAGTCTATTCTTTCCGCGAACCAAACAATAGAATAGAATTCATATTCTATTCCTTGCCTATTCCATTCCTTTTGGAATAGCATTCCTATTACCTCAAAATTTATTTTGTGAACCAAACATGTTGTAAGTCTCGTGTTTAATTTAAATTTGTCCTAAATTCTTTTCCTCACCCATCTATCGTACTTAAAAAAGAAAAGTACAAAAGAAAAAAAAATGATTGTTTAAAAAAAAAAAAAGATTTCGTAAAAGAAGAGTTTTTGGATTTAGCCTAGTTAATGGTTAAGCTCTGTTCTGGACAACTTTCCTTAGGTTCTGACGACATCTCCCCCATTTCCCATTCATACACCAAAAGATAACCATCTCGAAAAAAGCCCCGGACACAATTTGATTAATTAATTCAAAATATGATTAACAACTTATTTTGTTGGATTAAATCTTTTGGGGATCTAGGTCTCAACAATTTATTGATCCACCAAGACTTTAGGGTAAGGACGTGTGGAGCTTATGAGAGTATGAACTGGGAGTATTTTATTGAGTGATTACAGAAGCAATAAATAGAGTGTAATCCCACAGAAGAAGGAACTACACAAACAAATCCAATAGACTAGGTAACAGACTTTAACCAACCTATACTAAGTCTTAGTCCCAACACGCTCCCGCAAGATGGGAGCACCATCGGTGAACCAATCTTGGACCTGAAAATAGTGAACAAATGCCGGCCAAGCGGCTTAGTCAAAAGATCAGCCACTTGTTCCGATGACCGTACATAACGGACTCGATGTGAGCCAGACACAACCTGCTCACGGACAAAAAAATAATCAAGCGCCAAGTGCTTCATCCGAGAGTGGAAGAAGGGATTCTTGCAGACATAAGATGCACTCATATTATCAGTAACCAAAACCGGGGAAGTACGCAACCGCACCCCAAGTTCATGAAGCAGATTCTAAATCCACATAACTTCAGCAACGAAATTAGTGAGAACACGGAATTCAGGCTCTGTGGAAGATCGAGACACGCAGCGTTGTTTCGCAAACCTCCAGGACACAACATTCGGCCCGAAATAAATGACATAAGCCGTGGTTGACCGTCCCCCATCCCGAGTGTCTCCCCAATCCGAGTCCGAGTAGGCCGTAAGAGACAAAGATTGACCCCTGCGAAAATGTAAGCCAAGATATAGGGTCCCCTTCAAATAACGAAGTACGCGCTTCACAGGCTGCCACTGGAGTTCAGTAGGTGCCGCCATGAACTGCGCCAAGCGGTTCACAGCAAATGAGATCTCCGGTCGCGTGATGGCCAGGTACTGTAACCGACCAATCGCCTGCCGATAAACAATCACATCAAACACAGGAGAGGTGACAACATATAAGTCAACAGATGTATTCATGGGCGTCGTTACCTCTTTCGCCCCTGTCATACCAAACTGGTCCAGAGTATCAACCACATACTGAGACTGTGACAGAAACAAACCATCACCAGTTGGAACAACCTCAACACCTAAAAAGTGATGAAACGGCCCCAACTCTTTAAGCGAGAATCGATGCGCAAGACGACGCATAAACGCATCAACAAACCCATCATTATTTCATGTCAGAATTATATCATCTACGTAAACTAGAAAATACACAATTACATCCTGAAAACAGTAAACAAACAAAGACGAATCAGCTACAGATTTTTTGAAACCACAAGACACAAGAAACTTTAATAACTCCAAATACCAAGCCTGCGGGGCTTGCTTCAGACCATAAATCGCCTTCCGTAGTTTGCAAACATAACCTGGGAGCTGTTGATCAACAAAGCCAGCCGGTTGTTCCATATACACCTCTTCAAACAAAGTGCCATTTAAGAAAGCGTTGTTTATATCCAACTGTCTTAGCGACCACCCCTATGACAACGAAATTGTGAGAATAACCCGGATAGTTACCGGTTTTACAACCGGGCTAAAAGTCTCGAAATAATCACGGTCGGCTTCCTGCAAAAAACCTTTCGCCACCAATCGGGCCTTGAACCGGTCTACCGAGCCATCAGCTTTGCGTTTCACCCGGAAAACCCACTTGCAACCAACCACAACATGATCAGGCCGCGATACCAAATCCCAGGTGTTATTTCTTACCAACGCATCAAACTCAGCGGTCATGGCAGCCACCTATTCACCATCTTTCATAGCTTGCGCCACTGTTCGGGGTTCAACTGACAAGGCAATAGGATGAACACTAGCTGTATTCACCATCTTGTCGTTGAAGTATCTGGGATTCGGACGACGGTGACGTTGTGACCGACGCTGCTAGGGCGCTTGGGAGTCCACCACTTGTGTCTTGGAGACTGCCGACATTGACCCCAAGGCTTGAGAACTGCTCACACCCGGTATGGAAGCTGCGGGCTGTGATTCCGAACCTGAAGCGGACGGTACCGCCTCCGAACCCGCAAGCGCTGACTCCAAAACCGCAGGCACCGAGTCCGACGCGGCAGACCCCGACTGTGACAGTGCTGTGCTGGGACGTGCTGATGCCACAGAGTCTCCAGCCGGTTGACACGCAAGCTGCCCGGAATCGATTGATCTAGATGAAGACAGACTTTGACCTGCATTGGAATAGGACACAACATGCAATGGACCTGAGACAGGCACTATTAGCAGAGGGGAACTTAGTTGAACATTTTCGAAAGCAGTGTGTGACACATTCAGTAGTCTATGAAACGGGAACTCGTCGGTTATAAATGAGACATGACGAGAGAAGTAGACCCGACCATTAGACGTGTCCAGACACTTGTATGCTGACTGACTAAGCGAATACCCCAAAAAAGACACACGCCCGAGACTTTGGGTTCAGCTTACCGGGAAAGTATGGCTTTAACCAGGGGAAACAAAGACAACCAAAAGGCTGGATTTTATCATAGTTGGGTTTCTTATTGAACAAATTTTCAAACGCTGAGGAGTGTTGAAGTATAGGGGTAGGCATGCGGTTGATTAAGTAGACAGCTGATTGAAACGCGTACGACCAATACGAGGATGGCATGGATGCAAAGTGTAGCAAAGCCATGCCACTATCCACAATGTGTCTCTGACGCCTCTCGACGGAACCATTATGTTCCGGGGTGTGAGGAGGGGAAGTGAAATGTGAGATGGCAATTAAGCTTATTGAAGATTGGGATCAATTTTGTATATACCCCCCCCCCCCCCCCCCCCCCACATTTCGTATAGTGATCTACAAAACTAACATAGTACTTAAAGTTATCTACTGAGACAGTTGACGAACACCACATGTCTGTGTAAATGAGCTCTAAAGGCTTAGTACTTGTCGTAGTATTAAATGAAAAAGGCAGTTTATGGCTCTTTTTTATACTGCATGAAGTACAAAAAATAACTCAAGTGCCAAACGATTAAAGGGAACATTATTACTGTGCAAGATAGAGGATAGAGTTTTGTGATTTGGATGGCCATATTGATGGTGCCACTTGGCAATGGAAGACTTGACACCAACATTGACTTGACTGACACTAGCGGGAATGGCATAAACATCATTCACGACCGGACTGCACACCAGAGTTGTTCTCGACGATCGATCCTTAACAAGAAAATGAGTGTCAAAATATTCAACTCAAACTGAGTTAGATTTACATAACTTGGAAACAAAAATTAAATTTTTCGGAAGATTTGGAACGCATAACACTTTAGTTAGGAAAAGTAAGCGACTATTAAGTGGAAGTGAAACAGACCCTGTGTGTGAAATGCGTAGATTCTTACCATTACCCAGAACAATCTCATCCGGATCGGCGTAGTCTGAAAACGACTGTAGGGACTGAGGGTCAGAGACAGTATGATGTGACACACATGACTCTATTAGCCATGATTTGGACTGCGCCAGACTAGTAGCCATGGAGTTCACCATAGGGGATTGCTGGCCTTGGCTATGGGGTTCAATAACAACAACGTTGTTCTCTTTCAAGAATTTGGCAAGTTTGCGACAGTACCTCGCATCATGCCCGGGATAATCACAAAACTTGCAATGCCGAGCCGATCTGTTACCAAAGGACCTCTCTTGGCATTGCCTTCCATTCATACCGCCTCGGCCACGACGATTGTTGGATTGGAAGGTAGAGTCACCTGTATTGTTTGATCGCCGGTGTGTGACGTTAGCCGTAGGTACATGCACCTGTGAGGCAGCATCATTGTCATGCATCAGCCGCTCATAATCTGTGAAAACGTCTTGTAGTTCCCCAAACGAAATGCTACATGTTCACACACGAAGAGCTGCCACAATGGAGTTATACTCATCACCGAGCTGAGTGAAGACGTGCACCACCAGGTCCCTCCTCATGAACTGGGCTTTGTGCAAGCGCTAAGTCATCCTCAATTGACCTCATTCACGCATGTAAGCTTCAACTGATCAGTTGCCTTTGGGGTTCTTCGCGAGTTTTGCTTTCAACGAGACAATGCGACTGCGGGATGAGGCTGCGCAGGTCGTGGATAGCCGAGTCCAAGCATCAAACGCTGATGAAGCCGATGAGATGATAGGCTGTAGAACATCGGTTAAATTGCTTAGAAGTGCACTCAGGATAATTTGATCCTGTCGATACCACGCCATGTAGGCCGGGTTAGATACCGTTTGCGCCGCGTCCGTGTACTTCGCCAGAGCTGGCTTCGTACCATGAATGAAGCGTACAAGGTCTAAGCCGGTGAGTGTAGACTCCACCTGCTTTTTCCAAATGGGGAAGTTAGATGTGGTAAGTTTAATTGAAAGATGAGAAGGGACATAGATTTGGATGACAGTAGCTTGAGGTGTGGCAGCTATGTCGAAAAAAAAAAAAAAACCCAAGGAAAGGAGAGGAAAAAAAAGATCTCGTTAGAGTTAAGGCTCTAATACCATATGGGAGTGTGAACTGGGAGTATCTTATTGAGTGATTACAGAAGCAATAAATAGAGTGTAATCCCACAGAAGAAGGAACTACACAAACAAACCCAATAGACTAGGTAACAGACTTTAACTAACCTATACTAAGTCTTAGTCCCAATAGAGCTCTCAAATTTGGGTACAAATTAAACCTTTATAGGGGTTATTTAGTAAAGTGGAAAATTAGAGGATTTTATAAAAAAAAAAAAATTTGGAGAAGTGAAAAAATGAAAAATAGAAAACTTGTTTCCTAAAATCAATTCTCCAATTCAACCTAGCTTTCCATCTCTATTCTTTCTGTTTTTGTAAGATTTTGGAGAATCCAAAATCAGAATTCTCCATTTGGAGAATTGAAAAATACACGAGTGAACAGTATTATGCTCAACTGCCCTGAAGTCACATATTGACTTTTGTTATTTTTTACACATTTAGTACCAATGTATTAAATTTGTAAAATAAAATAAGAAGTTTGGATAAATGAAAAATTGGAGAAATAATTGAGGATGAAAATTAAAAAACTGAAAAAAAACAACAGAGAAATGAAGTGGTTTGCAATCTATTATAATGTCACAAACGAACAAGACACCCTGGTACAGTTGCACTTGGGATGTGCCAACTTTGTATGTGTGACAAGTAATCAAGATTGATCATGAACTTATTTTTGTGGGTTGTGTGATTGTAGCATGGTAAACATGTGAGGCTCCAATATATATATATATATATATATATATATATATATATATATATATATATATATATATATAAATAAATAAATAAATAAATAAATAAATAAATAAATAAATAAATAAATAAATATATATATATATATATATATATATATATATATATATATATATATATATATATATATATATATAAATATATATATAGGGCCGTTCCTAAGAAAATTGGGGTCCTGTACGAAAGTTAACATTAGCCCCTTTTTGTATAATTGTAAATATATAAAAGATATATTGTATTGTACCAAAATATATAATAGTTTATACAAAATTTATTATTCAAAACTACTTCACTTGAAAAGTGACATTCTTCTTCTTCTTCGGTCATATTTAGATGTAAAATTATTCACCAATCCATTGAGTATTTTTTTACAATATAGTTTATCATAAGTAAGATTTCAACAACTTTAACTTTAAAAAACTTCTTTATGCATAAACAACAGTAATGAAAATAGTCAAGACTAATTAATATTGCAATTGTAGTATCAAAATACAAAATTAGATTGTTATTCACCAATCAAAAAAATTCCTAGTTAGGATTAGTTATTGAATTAATAATTTTAAAATTTTGAATAAAATTAAAGAATTAAAGAATTAAAATATTTAATTATTTACATACCTTCATCAAATAGGCCCGCCATTATTCCTATAAGTTATAGGACTATAACTCTATACGTAAATCAAGTCCCAAGAATTAGGAATATAAACTTTTTAGAATTTTAGACCGTCTTGATTTCTTTATACATAAATTACACCTACACTAATATATAAAATATAAATATAAAATAATATATTTTTTTAATAAAAGTGCCCCCCAAAATTTGGGGGCACAATGCACATATATACTTATGTAATATTTGGGGCCCCTATGCGCGGGCCCTGGCCAAACATGGCCAGGGACGGTCCTATATATATATATATATATA